TTCAGAGTTTGAGAGAGAGAAATGTGTCTTAGACTAAAACAAACATAAGATCCCATAACTCAGTAAAACTATTTTGATAATTTAAAATAAATCAACATTTTTAGCACTCTATTTTTTAAGGCTGTTGCTATTCGTACTTAAAATAAGGAGGAATAAAAAATAATTATTCTTACTTTAATAGGACGAATAATAAATTAAGGAGGCTGTTGCTATTCGTCCGATAATAGGATGAATAAAAAATACGTTATTCGTCCGACTGTTGTCGTTTTGTACGAATATCTACCATTTTCTTTGTTTTCTAATGTAAAATAAGTGATTTTTAGGGGCAGGAGATTCTATATGCAAAAAAATAGCCTTAACCTATCGAGCTGGAAACTTTTTCTTTAAAATCCCAACGATTTTTATTAAGTTCAAGAGTTTTTAAGGTAAAAAAAATATTAAAGGTACAGGAGTTTCTGTATGCAAAAAAATAACCTTAACCTACCGAGCTGAGCCGAGCTACTTATTCTACTTATTGATTTATTAGTCTATTCATCATTCCTTATAATTTATATAATTTATAAAGGACGAATAATTATGTTTTATTCGTCCTATTAAATGTCAAATAGACACTCCGGTTTTTTATATGTCTACTGTCTAGCATAGACTCTAGATAGCGGCAAAGGCTCCAGGCAATAGTACCCCAATAGAAACACTTACAAGACCAGATCATCCTCCACTAAGTTTATCTCCTCTGAACACTCCTTTTCGACGTGAATACCACTTACCATACGGTGAAGAAAAATATTGTAAGGTAATTTCCATGATTAAGAGAACTTAGTTATACTTAGTAGATAGAACTATGTACATAATTTTCGCAAGACATGTGAAGTCTGCCAACACGCATATGGCCAAAGTAGTGGACCACGACCTGATTACCCTTGCTTGGAAAGACCCGTACACTACCCACCGAGCAATGGGATGTTAAAGAACTTAATTTTTGCTAATATTACCTACATTACATATGAACGGAGCAAAAAAGTGTTCTGTGTGTAGTAATAAATTTATTTTTTGAGAATACTCATCATTTTATTTAAAATCGGCGTTTCTACCTGCAAGTAGTAGGTACTTATACCCCATACCAATACTAGGTATACCTATATTTATTGCTTGTGAAATAGAATAGGTATAGGTGTCTTTTTCAGCAAAAGATAAAAGTTAGCTAAATAATAATAAGATTTTATTCGAAAAAAGGTTCTAATGTGGTTATGTCTGGAGCTGAATATCTTTATGCCAAGTGAAAGTTAATTTATCTAATCGAGCCGTTGATCTAATTTTACAAAAACTCAAGTTATACAATGAACGTCTCAAAAGTGTCCTCAAAAAAAAGTACCTACACAATTCACAATTTTACCTACAAATTTGAATTGCGCTTGTTTTCAAATCTTCTTCCTATTTATTGCTTTTCGTATGACAAAATTAAAATGCACATCGTTTAAAGTACAAAATACCTACTTATGTGGTGTACCTAAGTTTGAATTTTTAATTAGTTAATTGGGACTTTCGATTTTTGAATGTTATTCTTTGGTTTTACTTTATGTCATATACAGAAAATAAAATTCTAACCGAGTCGAATCTGTATCTACATAAAATATTTTGTGGAAAATCTTATTGAAATAGTCATTATTATCGATACAGAGGTAGTTCCTATAGTTTTTAGAATTTTTGTCTGTCTCTCTGTTTGTCTGTCTGTCTGGAAGCGCATCACGAGAAAACCACTGAACAGATTTTGATATTTGGTATGATGATAGCTGGTTATCCGGGTAACACAAAGGTATGATACTTATTACTGCAAGAAAATATCATCTCTGAGAAATCTATACTCAACGTTAAAATGTAACTAGGGACGGCTAAGGAGGTTAGTAGCTAGTATTCATATTATATCAATGATTCGAGCACGTTAAAGCTAATTTGTTAGAAATGAAACCGCGCCATCTAGTTACAAAACAGATATTTCTCTTGACATTATAATAAAATTCTTTTAACTCAATCTTATGCTTCTCAGTGCTTATAATAAGTAATAAAACACAGTAAAAATATTACGTATGATTGTTACATAATTATTAATTAACTATATATAACCATTAATTAATCTAACATTAACCAAATAATTTTAAAAAATATATTCACTCACATTCTAAATGTAATCTATGTAGTGCTTAGTGATTGTAGGGTAATATATAATATACGTATGTGTAAAAATGTAAAAAAATATTATTCCTTAATGTAAGGCTTAAAAATAAAAATTATGAGAATAAGAAAATTATTTTCAATTTTACGGAATGAAATAATTCTAAGCTCTGTCAGACTTTTTAAGTATAAATGATATTGTTTTTATATAGGTATACTAAAATAATATATTACCCAAATATTTTTGTCTTTATGTTTAAAAACAACAATATTTGAAGCAATTTATTACTGAAAACAATATGAATTTCGATACAGTCACTCCATCTATAGTAAGAATTGTAATATGATACAGATTACAGAATACAGGTTACAGATAACGCAAACTGATTATATATATTTTGTTATTTATATGACACTACAATATTAAAAAATACATTTATTAGCGTAAGTATTGTTCTAAATACAAATAAGAAATTATATTTAAAACTGAAAAAAATAACTTATTATCTTAGATAAATAACACATAATTTAAATATAGTCTATAATTGTTGTATGTGGAAGTTTGGTACGCGTCAATCGAAGCGCATAAGCTGCCATCTATTAGACTTATGTTGTACTGTGATATTGGTAAAGCAGTGTGGCTGAAAGAAGTAAATAAAATAAGCAATAATGTTCTTTTTTTCTATATTATAATATATCTTTTAAAAAACTATTTAAAAATAAGATAATTTCCATTAATTACATATTAATACCAATGTAATTTTAGACGAAATAATAAATAAAATGCAAAATTTATATTTCGCGCCAATGAATGGCGGCCATTTGTCCTCGTTGAGAACCCCGCGACAGGAAGTGAGTGATGAAGGTGCTACGCAGGCGCAAATTGACCTTTCGGTTGAAGAACCCGTCGGTCACATGTGAGTGTCGATAAATATCTTAGTTTTAACGTGAATCCGCTTTGGATAGACTTAATTATTGTTTTAGTAAGTATTTTCTAAAGTGAACATAAATTTGTGAAACGAGCGCGTTGTAACAGTGTGAATTATGTGTTAAATTTGAAAGTATATTATAACGCGGCGCCGGCACGTTTGTCAATTTGCTATTTTTCTTTTACGATTTTCACATTGCATGAAAGAAGAATGTTAATACTTTTCTTGCTTTTTTTAAACGTGTCACATATATGTGTATGAATAAAACCAATATTTTTACATTTTTAAATTAATCAGTGCAAAGTCATGAAGACATGACCAAGATGTCCCTTTGAAAAGGCACATGTCGGTATAATACATGGTTCGCTGTCACTTATCTAAACCATATATTCACGTTCAAATTTATTTTATTGAAATTTCTAATTTATTTTTATGCATATTTATTTATTTTCATGCCTTTTCTCAACAATCATAGGCTTAGGTTTTCGCCACAAAGCACTAGGTGGGGTTAGGTCGTCTGAATTTTCGTATGGCATATCGAATATTTTCATATGTCTAGATAACGAAGACAGGCGTGACTCGTAATTGTCTGCAGGGCTTGCGCGATATTTTACTCTGGAGTGGCTCTTGTGATTAATAACGTGTATGCCACATTTTTTAAACTTCAATATTTGTCGCTGATATTCATGTAATTACGTGAAACTGTAAGTTCTCATGAGTCATGCTTATTAATAAATTCATTAATAATGATTATCATAACTTTCTCTATTTCCATGCAATTTGGTACTTTTCAATGACTTAGATCTAAAACAAAAAAAAAAGGTTTGTTAAAAATCATTCAATATAATCAAATTCTTTGCACATTCACCATGCTTAAGCATATAGAAAAGTTGTCTAGAAATAATGAACGGCCTATTTATATTCATTCCTTTTTTAAGAAGTTTCATATATTATATCATATAAAAACTCAATATATTTCTACATATTGCTAATATAATTTTAACTTTTTATATTATAATAATTCATTTTTTATGAAAAAAATAATGTAAGCAAACATATGGACAATCTAGGAATTGTGATAAACTATTGAATATATTTTTCCAAATACCACATCACAATTGACTGTGTGAAAGAACAGTCAAAATATCTTTATTTTTGTGTTAAATTTGAAAATTTCATAATAAATCTGCCAATTTTCTCCTATAAACCCTCATGGTGAAGTTCACTGACATAGAGGTCATTAACCTATGTGCTAATTTTTGGCTTATGATCAATGGTTAATGCCAAGGTTGAATTAGTTAGATGATTGTGGTATATAATATTACTAACCCATTGACAATTTTATCAAGTATCATATATATCAACACATTATTTACAAGCAAGTGTCAATATATATTTTCAATTTCTTAGTAAACAATAAAAGATGGGATTAGTTTCTTACTTTGTTATTATGTACTTTGAAATGTGATCTTAAATAAATGCTGCTATATAATTCAAAGCCTTTGTACAGTAAAAGTGACTGTTTTTCTTTCTCTTATATTTCAAGAATTGCTTTTAGTCTGTTTTGTTTTCTTTTTTTTTTGTAAAAGTTTTACTTTAATGTCTTATATGTATATATATCATGCTTTACCTCTATTATAACTTGAGCCTATAGAGTCGCAACTGCAGTTTTTATATTGTATTTGTGCTGCGGGTACTCAGAAATTAAACACCAATTCTGACTATGCGTCTCATTTCACTACTGTGTTATGGGATCACCGTACAGGAATACATTTATTTACCAGTTATAACTTAGAACTTTCTATAGCAGTAATGGTGTATGTTAAAATTGCTTCAATTATTTATATTGATAACCATCTGTCCTCAGATCACTCCACACCCTAGATAACGACATCGCACATCATGGGCGATATCGAGGATACACACTTCGAAACGGGCGACTCCGGTGCCTCCGCCACTTTCCCCATGCAATGTTCCGCTCTCCGCAAAAACGGCTTCGTTATGCTCAAGGGACGCCCCTGCAAGATAGTTGAGATGTCCACCTCCAAGACTGGCAAGCACGGACATGCTAAAGTTCACTTGGTTGGCATTGATATATTCAATGGAAAGAAGTAAGTATTATTATAGTACTTTTAATAAAAAGGTATTGGGGTAATAATTTGTATTTTAGTATTTTAAATAATTAAATAGTAATTTGATTTGAAATTAGTTGATTATAGAGACCGCATCACTAGAAACATTTTAGGTACATATTTGCATAAGAAAGGTGGTATCCATTAATTATGTGTTGTATTTCTATCAATTAGGACCCCCACCCCTCCCCTCCCCCTCGGGTAATATTTACGCTACATTTGCTAAAGGAGTATAGTTATTTTCATAAAGTATAAAAATTATACAATGTTCAGTTATTTTTTCAGTGGGCAAAATAGAACACTTCAAAAAAAAATCAAAGAACTTATTGTTTTTTATTATCTTTGTAATATATTTTTTCTTTTAAAGTTGACGTGAGATTAGGATAAATGTGATTTTACTGACCCCCACCCCTAACCCCCTCCCCTTTTGAGCTCATAATGGATGCACCCTAATGATATCATGTGGACAAAAGATCAATCTATTCATTTGAATAGTTAATGATCTATAATATATATTCTTTAATTTTTTCTTATATATTTTGTTTAAAAATACATATAAGTATATGATATAACTTGGAATTATATATAAAAAATACGAGCCCATAGAGTCGCGAGTGCGGTGTTATATCGCTTTTGTGCTGAGGGTACTCGAAAAACAAACACCAAGTCCGGCTATGCGTCTCATTATACAACTGTACTGTGGGATCACCGTTTAGGACTACATTGATTTAAATTAAACATTGTGGGTGTTACTTAAATAATATTAATACCTCAACGACCGCGGACACGCCGGCGTTACAGCTCACAATAGATTTCTTAGAAACTTACCTGGAGGTATTAACAAAATAATTTAAACAAAACTAACCTTCTCGAAAACAAATATACTATTTGTGATATTTATTTCTTTGTGTATACACCAGTTGCCACAAAGTGTTGCATATATTATTTATGCTCAATGCTGTTTCTCTACATAAATTATTCAATATAGTGACTTCTACTATACAACCCCACATTACGACCTAAGAATCAATTATATTTATGAGACCTAGTTGTATTATTGATTTTCCAACAAAATAAAAGAAAAATTGCCATTCTTAGCAAGGTGATCAGTTCATGGCATATTGGCGTACTGAATTGAGGCCTTGAACCTTTATAGTTTAATGCAAATTGTAATGAGTCTGTATGTAATTCTAAATTCTGTCAGTAAGTAATGTAATTAATAAAATAAATATATAAAACTTAATTTATATATATTTTAAATTTGATATTCCGTTACAGTATATCATACTATATATAATAGTAGTAGCACTTTGAAAGTTGAATAGACTAAAATTAAATTCTTAAAATTAATTATACATCTTTTCGAATAATATTCAATGTAATTCTATTTTAAAAGTTATATCTGTCTATTCCACTTTAATCTTTATTGTATTATGTTAAATTAGTCTCATAATATATATTACTAGCAGAATCTGTGGCCTCGCCCACATTCAAAGTACAAAAAAAAATCAAACTCTTCTTTCCCTTCCCTTTACAATAATGTATGGAAATCAGCCCGATTTGTTGACATTTATGATTACTGCTCCGTTCTCTCGGGTAGTAGTATGATGATATATAATATATCCTATAGAATTCCTCAATAAACGGGTTATCTAATGCAAGAAGAATTTTTCAAATCGAATTAGTAGTTTCTGAGATTAGCGCGTTCAAACAAACTCCGCCTCTTTGTAATATTAGTATAGTTTAGTGTTCTTTACTTCCCATATTACTTTTGCCTTAAGTTCTTTAACATTTTATATATATATATTGTGCGTGTATAACAAACTGTTATACCATTTAATTAAACAATAACACTTCTCTCTCCAGATATGAAGATATCTGTCCATCCACCCACAACATGGACGTACCACACGTAAAGCGTGAGGACTACCAGCTCACTGACATATCCGACGACGGCTACCTCACACTGATGGCCGACAATGGAGACCTGCGTGAGGACCTGAAGATCCCAGACGGAGAACTTGGTACCCAACTCCGTACTGACTTTGACAGTGGCAAAGAATTGCTGGTGAGATACTGTTTATAAAAGTTCTTCATTACATATTTAAATAGTTAAATTTTATTTTGTACTAGCAACTCGCCCTCGCTCGGGTTTCGATTGAAATAAAACAAATAATAAGTATTAAATGAAGCTTACCACTATACATAGTGAAAACCACATCCAAATCGGTTAAGCCGTTTCTGAGATTAGCGCGCACAAATGCACAGACAAACAAATTCTAAAGATCATTTTTTTGGGTTCTATTGTGTTAATTAAGACCCCCAATAATAGTTTTTCTCAAATATTTTCCATATACAGACGGGGATCAGTTACATTTTTATTATATGTATAGCTATAGATTCAAGATGAACAAAGTGTATGTTAAAACTAAAATTAGGAGGCTATTATTAAACTATATATGTAATACCAATTGTAATCATATAATTTTCATCTAAAAATCTACTGGATTATAGTTTTATACAAAAACTCATCATTCTAATTTCATATCTATTACTAAATTTTTACAAACAAAACATTTAAAAAGATATAAAATTAATATTTGTTGGATTTGGATTTTTGTTTGCTATATTCTTCATTTATCGACCCTATTAAGGATACAGACAGACATATTATTAAAGACATATTTTTTAAAATATTTATAGTTAAAAGCTGCTTGTATAAAAATGTTAAAAATAGTTTCTTATCTTTACATAAATAATTGAAAATCCAACTTATAAAAGATTCAGCATTATTCAGTAATGTAATGTTTCGAGTGTAGAGTCTCTGATACATTTTATAATGTATTGGTGCTAAATTAACTCGTAAATAATAATTCCGCCCTTTACCTGAGCTAGTACTCTTTGCAAGCTATATGGACCATGGGTTTGAGGACATTTTAGATTTTACTATGAAATTAATCTATACATATAATAAAATTCTGAGTCAAATCTGTACATTAAATATTTTCTGGAAAATCTTATTGAAATAGACATTATTATCGATACAGAGGCTGATTCTTTAGTTTTTAGAGTTTGTCTGTCTGTCTGTTACCGCATCACAGAAAAACTACTAGACGGATTTTTATGAAATTTGGTATGGTCATAGCTGATTATCCGGGTCAACATATAGGATACTTTTTACAGTGGAAAAATATCTCATTCCTGAGAAAAAATACAAAAACTGCAATGTAAGAATATACTAATATGTAAAAACCTAAGGATTAGGTTTTTGGTCATCTGAACGCGGGCGGAGCCGCGGACAATGCTACTATTATAATATACATCTATACTAATTATATAAAGAGGTAGAGTTTGTATGAACGCGCTACCGGAACTACTAATTTGATTTAGATACTTCTTTTTGCATTAGATAGCCTGCTTATTGAGGAAGGCTGTAGGCTATATATCATAATATATATATAACATATATATTCCATACTAAAAATTAAAATGTGCCTAGGGATGAACCCGAGCAATGCTAGGTTGAATCATTAGTAAATTATAATTAAACAAGTTTTATAATATAAAACAATGATAGGTTTTGCAAATTGAGCCTGCTTAAATAAAATTTTACGATTATAGTAATGTTAGAGTTATTTCAGTTCAACATGCTAATAGTCTACAAAGGTCAGAAGGTTATCATGTTAAATTAAATTTGGGTAGTGGCCAAAATCCATACTAATATTGTAAATGTGAAAGTGTGTTTGTTTGTCTTTCTTTCACGTCGAAACGGCTTGGCGGATTGGCGTGCTTTTTTGTGTGGAGATAGTTGGAGGGCTGGAGAATGACATAGGCTATATTTTACCGCGGAAGATGATCTCTTTCTCACGGAAAAATACGGTATAACACAAGCCAAAAAAATATGTATGATCAGAATTACTTGAAATCTGGGAGTAATGCTCTTCAATACAATTAATTAAATACGTGTTTTAGCATTTTTCTAAATTCATCCCATAAGGGGGTAAAATAGCGGCTGAAAGTTAGTATGAAACCTACCATTTTATGAGGTTTTTTTTGTGGTTTAGCGCGAGCGAAGCCGCGGGTTTTGCTAGTTACATAATCTTAAAAAATGACTATATGGTTTGGCTTGTAACTATTTGAATGGAAAGTGAATTAATTAATAATAAATAATAATTAAATAAAGAGTGTATAAACTCTTTAATTGTTAAATTATATAAAATGTGAGGTAATTATCTATCTGGACATGTAAATACAATCAATAACACCTTTCAAGTCACAGTATCAACATTTATGTAATGTGGTCAGTAACTGCCAATGTTATCGAGTAAAGCTGTGATAAGAATGATGAATGTTATAAGTTTTTTTAATATTTTAATCTCTTTAAAAGATATCTATACCATATACATATTATAAAATTCTGATTCAATACCAGTCATGAGATACAGTAAATATTTTTTGGAAATTTTTATTGAAATAGTCATTTTTATTGATGAAGAGGATGAATTTATAGTTTTTAGAATTTTTATCTGTCTGGGAACGCTTCACGAGAAAATCACTAGACAGATTTTGATGAAATTTGGTATGATGATAGCTGGTTATCCGGGTTAAAATATAGGATACTTTTTACTGCAGGAAAATATCTCATCTCTGAGAAATCTATACTAGACGTTAAAACACAACCAGGTACAAACCCGAGCAGAGAGGGTCAATTGCTAGTCTTATATAAACATTGACCACGTGTATAAAAAAGTAATAAAAAACATTAAATTCTATTATATGCATTATTTGTAAGTTATATTAGTAAAGAAATTATATCAACAAACAATGACTGTACCATACTTTTCTTTCTTTCCAGTGCACCGTGCTGAAGTCGTGCGGCGAGGAGTGCGTCATTGCAGTGAAAGCAAACACGGCTCTCGATAAATAAACCAACTCAGCATTTATAGGGATATAACAAGCATATAATTTTTTTACAATCAACAACTCTTACATAAATGTAAAACATAATATTATGTATAATTTAACGTAAAATATGATCGACGCGGCCCGGCCGCGACTCAGCGCTCACACAACGTCCGACGGCTCGTGACGTGTCCTCTTCCCGGATGATATCTGGCCCTTAACAAATGCAATAATGAATTGTTCTAAGGGCTCGGGAATCCCCCGGGATTCGCGGCCGGCCTCTGGTTCTTTTGGCCCGACCACTAAAACAGACTATGCTAATTTATTAGAACAAGGTTGTGTGAGCGGTGGACGTGTCCCGGAACTTCGTTTTTGTTTTTTTCGCTTAAGTCTTAAACGTTACGTTGCGAGCCGCAAATTGAGCGTTTTCGGTGTGGAATCTTGTGAAAACCTTTATAACGGGTCTGCGACCCGACACGGACGCATACTTTAAATTTTTACCTTAACGCTAAATTAATTACATATAACAGAACCGAAAAGAAAAAAAAAGTTAAAAAAATAACAAAAAAATAGAAATAAAGAAAATTCTTGAATGTGGTGTGTGATTGATTGGTCCTTTGTTCGAGCGATAATCTCTGCGTACCCTTCTGCGTAACACTTGCCATATGTTCAAACGTTCTAAACTACACTACACATGAAATCTTTTTATAATATGATATTATTACGCCATCACATCGTTGTAGTGACAAAGACTGACTACTGTCACGATAACCCGTTTTAGACTGAAATGCATTTTTTAGATAAAATAGTTGATTAAATATAAATTAGCAGTAGAAGTACTCAAAGTCGGCCTTTCCTTGCTCTCTTGATTTGAACACGTGCCAGCCGCGAGTGTTGCCTCTGGACAGGGTACTCTACGGAATTATCGTTTAACATCAAATTGTCAAAGACGATTGATATACGAAATATTATGTAAGAACGTAAGGTAAGGCCCTATAGAAGAAATATTTTTTTATGCATTCAAAATTCGTGATCGTCAACTAGTGAATCTAGGCCGTTTAGAACTTGCGGCGTTTTTATGTTCAATTGTAAATTAATTCTAAAATTGCATAATCGTTATTGTTGGTGAAGTTTTTATACTTAGCAGCTTGTAATCAAGTTTTTTTTTTAATTTATTTACTAAAGTATTTGTGGACATCGGAAGGTGTATAATAAAATACTTTAGTAACGAGAACATTTTTCTTTTATACTTAAATTAACTCTGCGATACATTACTGTGAATATCAGGGGTCATCGCTTTCATATTTTTATTTTTTTAATTTACATTTTAAAGGTATAACGTCTGTTATTTGTTGTTGTGAGCTGATTGTATTCTGTTCTTTATTCAGTTTGTTAGTCCCTTCAAGCAACAATAGATTTTATACTCTAAATGTGAATGGAAAATAAAAATACGAACGCGATTTTTATATAACTTTCCACTTGTCTTCGTGAATTCATTGTTTGAAATGAGTTAAGTTTTGAATTCTAGTGATGGGCTTTAATTTATTATAAAAGCCAGTCGTGATATCAAAACTTTACAAGGGCGGATCCTTTAATTTTAAAATTTACTTTCATTTTTTTTTTTATTTACAACGGTATATTTAAATTCACAGTGCCAATAAAGAATGCTTTGAAACCCCTTCCCCCTCCCATTTCCACCCAGTCGGGATCCGCCCCTGCAATACTTGTAAGTATTAGCGTTTATTTACTTTATGGGCAATGATGGATCGAAAGTACGTTAAATAGAATTGTATATACGTAAGAGTTACGGAGGTTAGATATAAAACTTCAATAATCCACAATTTGTGCAATTTTCTACGTGTATTATTTTGTCAATGTGCGACGTTACCGAATTTAATAGCATCGGCTCTTAAATAAATATATGTGAATGCAGTAAATATTTAAAAAGTCTGTCGAATTAAAATCTGTACAAAATGAAAAATTCGTTGATCATTCTTTATTTTTTTTTTTGTTTGGATTTAGTTGTTTTTTATTTTGTTCTTTTAGATAGTTTTGACCCTTATTATTCTAGTCTTAAGTTATAATTTATAATTAAAAAAGAAAAAATAAGAGAATTTTAAACTATTCTGGATGACTTAAAAATTATAATAATCCTCTTTTGGATTTCACCGCAGTCGGCTAAAAAATATAAGAACGAAATTTTATATACATATGTGTATACATGAGAGAATAAAAAAATAAAATAAAAACAGGTTCGATTCCTTTGAAGTTATTGTCTTGAATACTAATAACTCTTGGTGAGATTTAACATTTTTTGCTGGAAAACTTGTGAAGATTTTTTCTACGGTCCTGAAAGAAGATGTACGCGGAGAGCTTACTACGACAAGGATAATTTTGCAATTGGTAAAAGTTAATACTATCTTATTTTTGTTATCTATATAGGATCGAGTACCACTCAGTATGGAATTTTCAAACTTAATTGGAGTAACTCATGTTTATTCAATAATTCATAGGGAAATTCTAAATGATAACTTCAAGGGTCTAAGTGATAATCATCTACTTCAATTCAATTTTCTGATTAATGGCTTCCAAATGTGCTAAAGAAGTATAGCTTAGGTACTTTACCAATGTCGCGTGGAATGAACTAGTAACTACCTGCTTCGATGATAATTACGAACTGTCAAAATATCAGCTCTTGCCCTATTTCACATCGATCAACGTCAAAACTTATCTAGCCGAACCTCTAGAAAAGTTTATTGATAGCCCTTTACGTAGTGCAATGGCCTAGTATATACCAATGTACTCTGTGGCAATGGCTTACCGGTAAGGAGGAGTCGCATATATAATATGTGAAGTAATGAAACACTTTTCCTGATATAATCGGTATATTGACAGTAATTATTCGTTATTTTAAAAAGTAATTAACAAAATTCATATACACAACAGAAAATCATACGTCCCGCCCAAACGTCAAATATATTCGTCGTCATACTTTTCCTGCCTGCCTGGCACCTGCGTTGACGAACACCACAGATGTTGTATGAAGGCGTACTTGATGCGAAGTTCGAATAAACTGGCAGCGCGTAAAAAATATATTAAGGGAGATAAATTGGAAAAGTGTCCACCTGTATGCTGAAAATAGATGGCGCTGGCGTACGAAAAACTGATTTGCATTTAGCTGTTATAGACGAAGTGTCCAATCCGGTCCCTGTTTTCTTTTCTATCGTTCTCTAATTTTGGCGCTTCAAGAACACTTTCACATGAAAGTGCCCTTCTACGCTCCATATTTACCAGGAATAAATGAAAATAATTGTAACTGGTTAGAATTAGCTAACTTAAATTATTAGCCTGCTTCGCTCGATATATTAATATTAATATTTTTCATTAGTAAAAGTATATATTAATAGTGTTGCTTAGTAAGTTGTTTTTAAATAATAGCAAACTAAATAAAAATTATTATGCTTAATTAATTTTAACTTTTTTAGATTACACATAGAACAATTATATGGCTTAAATAATTAATACTATATTTTATACTTTTCTTTATGGTTATAAATATAATAATGGCAACACTAAATATAGATTACTAATTAATATTTTTAAAATTGTAATAATTATATAAATAATAGCAAAAATTAAATAAATAATTTTCCATATTCAGTTATAATTAAAATTATAAAAATGTTTAAAGTTAAAAAAAAATATTGTAATGTAATTGGTGCAATTTTCATTTTGTTACCTGTTTTCATTTTGTTAATATACCTGATTTTCTTTTATTCTACTAAAATACCCGTCAAAATTACCCGCCATCAAAAATCGCCTAAGATTACCCGCTTTTCGGGTAATTTACCCGCCAATTGGCAGCGCTGGTGAAGATAGTTGGAGGGCTAGAGATTGAAATAGGCTATTTTTTACAGACAAAACACGATAAAATACAACCCAAAAAAATATTTATGATCAGAATTGCTTTAAACTTGGTAATAATGCTCTTCAATACAATTAAATAAATAAGTTCATATTTTAGCATTTTTTGAAATTCACCACATTAAAGAGTAAAATAGGGGATGAAAGTTTGTATGAAATCTACCTTTTTAAGAGTAATTTTGTAGTTTTAGCGCTAGCGAAGCCGCGGGTTCAGTATATGTAAGGTTGCATTTTTATATATTGTTGTAATAGAAAATAATATATTTGATTAATTCGTAATGATTTATGTATAAGGCATTTACTTATGTGACTTTGGCCGATAGGAATGTGTTTAAAAAAAAATTAAAAAGGGCGCGGATATTCATATTTCATTTGTTTTCCCGCGCTTTTGCACAGAGATGTCGGTAGTCGATAGTCAGTACCATAGAGTATATTGCTACATATATAAACTACCACATAGTACTCACGAATTGTTTGTTATACTGAAAATTATAATTATAAATTATGTAACTGACTGACGATTACAAAAGTACTGAATATAAGAATATAAACAAGGAATATCTCGAAATTTATTAGGGACCCCATATATATTATAAATAATAGTCTGTATATAATATAAAAAATAATTAACAATAGATTAAGGAGACTTAAATAATCTAGACACACGCCCGAGCGAAGCGTAAAGTCGCTAGTTGTAAATAAATAGCATTTATGATCATAGTTATTACTTTAAATTTAATTTTCTCATAGATGTTTATTAGCGTATTTTCAGTTATTTTAACCGAATAATAAATAGTATAAGACAACCTCTTAAAATAAAACACCGGCACCGAGAAACTGCCTTGAATCTGTTGATGAGTTTTAACAAATGAAATTCGTAGTCATAATAAAAGTATTATTTTCCAAAATAAATTTTATTTAACAATTTAGAATATTATGTAAAAATTATTTAAATTATATATTGTTGTAATAGAAAATAATATATTTGATTAATTCGTAATGATTTATGTATAAGGCATTTACTTATGTGACTTTGGCCGATAGGAATGTGTTTAAAAAAAAATAAAAAAGGGCGCGGATATTCATATTTCATTTGTTTTCCCGCGCTTTTGCACAGAGATGTCGGTAGTCGATAGTCAGTACCATAGAGTATATTGCTACATATATAAACTACCACATAGTAGTCACGAATTGTTTGTTATACTGAAAATTATAATTATAAATTATGTAACTGACTGACGATTACAAAAGTACTGAATATAAGAATATAAACAAGGAATATCTCGAAATTTATTAGGGACCCCATATATATTATAAATAATAGTCTGTATATAATATAAAAAATAATTAACAATAGATTAAGGAGACTTAAATAATCTAGACACACGCCCGAGCGAAGCGTAAAGTCGCTAGTTGTAAATAAATAGCATTTATGATCATAGTTATTACTTTAAATTTAATTTTCTCATAGATGTTTATTAGCGTATTTTCAGTTATTTTAACCGAATAATAAATAGTATAAGACAACCTCTTAAAATAAAACACCGGCACCGAGAAACTGCCTTGAATCTGTTGATGAGTTTTAACAAATGAAATTCGTAGTCATAATAAAAGTATTATTTTCCAAAATAAATTTTATTTAACAATTTAGAATATTATGTAAAAATTATTTAAATGTACAAAAATATATGCTGCATGCCATCATACTATTCAGATCACATTTGGTTAACAAGAATAATGTAAAGAAATGATAGTAATTGATAATAATTAAATGTAGTTTTTTTTTTATTTTTTTTATGTTTTTTATCTTGAATTAATTATTTTATTTTATGCTAAATAATCATGATTGTTCCTCATCAGAAGAGTCTGAAATATCTATTACAAAAACTGGACCCTCAATATCCACTAAGCTAGTTGTAAAATTATCTCCAAATTGTTTTAAAGTATCTACTATACTTTCTTTTGGTTCCTCTTTTATTTTAACAGTATTTATATCATTTGTGTCTGTTTCTGGAACTTTTTCTTCCTTCATATTAATATCCTTCTTTTCTATCACATCATTGTTGTCTGTGGTATTAACATCAGGGAAGCTCTCATCGGTGCCTGAATCTGAATAGATATCTTCTTCATCGGCATCCTTATACTTATCAGGTTGATTTTGCATCATTGTAAATCTGTAACATTTCACAATTTTACAGAGATGAAAATAAATGTAACTTTCCATTACGAAACCTTATATCAGGTGATATGAAAACAATTTTAAAAAACTTTAACAGTGCTATGTGAGTACGATGTTTGAATATATCAAAAAATATCCTAATACAATTTAATCTATACATAAAATTGTAACTAAGACGAATCTGTACATTAGATATTTTCTGGAAAATCTTATTAAATAAACATTATTATCGTCACAGAGGCCGAATCTATAGTTTTTAGAATTTTTGTCTGTCTGTTACCGCATCACGGAAAAACCACTGGAGGGATTTTCATGAAAGGTATGGTGATAGCTAATTATCCGGAAAACATCTCATTTCTGAGAAAAATACAAAAACTGCATTGTAAGAGTATACTAATATGTAAAACCTATTCTATCTTACTTTTGAAACACTTCCATCTCCCTTTTTATGGCAATTTGTTTGTTGGCCTCTAGCTTAGCTCGCAGCTCAGGGTCATGGTCTGCGGGGTCATCATCACAGGTGTCCACCTTGCTTATAAGATCCTCATATTCTCTCTTTTGCCGGCGTTTCTGTAGTGCACGACCACAATAAGTGAATAGTGCTCTTGCTATAGGTACAGAAAGTGCATTTATATAAAAAAAACTTCTGTTTTTGAAAGTTGTAGAAGTTGAGATAGGAGTATTAGTAGACCCCCCCAACGTGCGTTCACCTTGTCGTGGTGAGGGGGTTCAGTAGTGCCTGGCAATCGAACCGGGCGCGAAGCCAAGAAACGCACAGGGAGGTGGCCCACTTCGGTGGGCGGTGGGAGGTGGCCCTCTTCGGTGGGCGGTGTATCATGCGGGTTTCTCCTGGTACTTCTCTGATAGCAGAGTGGACCTTGGAGCAACCCCATGGTCGTTGTGGTCTGCCTCGGCAGACCTGCCGTCGGGGCGTCGTAGTTGAATGCGTAAGCGATCCTGCGACGCCCCATTAAGACGAGGGAAGGTTTTATTGGGTTTTAGTGGGTAGTACTGGCTTTGCCGGTGAGTCCCACACTTCGTGCGTAAATGCATTTCCCAACGTTTAGACCCCCCAATGTGCGTTCACCTTTTCGTGGTGGGGGTGCTCATTAGCGTCCGGCAATCCAGTCGGCCGCGAAGCCAAGAAACACACTGGGAGGCGACCTATCTCTGTGGGCAGTGTGCTATGTGGATTGCTTCTGGTACTTCTTTGATAGCAAAGTGTACCATTGAAGCAACCCCATGGTGTTGTGGTCTGCTTCGGCAGTTCTGCCGTCGGGGCGTGTATATGCAGCTATATTTCCGAATATTCATAATAGTTCAACTCTTAAAATAGTTACTGATACAAATACCATAGAGAAATTTTTAAAACTCAAGCATGCAAAAAGTAATACTTTCTTAGATTTCCGCGAATATTTGACATTTTAAATAAAACTATCTTTTCGGATTTTTTCGCGGATTTATTTGGATTTTTGGTTCCCGACGTTACGTATTTTGTAACCAGTAACAGGGGTATTTGACTTCTTGGTGGTAAATGTGTAGTGGATATTGTAAAATGGTAAAATTAAAGTCATCTTAAATAAGAATATAGTTGTTACAGACACTTTTCAGATTATATATTACCTTTGAGATTTCTAAAACCTTATTCTCTCAAAAAATCAAAATAAATCCTTGAAAAAAATCTGAAAAGATAATTGTATTTATGTAAAATATTCGCGTAAATCGAAGAAAGTATAATGCCACCTTAGTTTTATTAGGAAAGACTATTTTATATATCATAAAATGAAAATATAATATGCATAAATAATAATTTAAATATAATATTTTTTGAAGTTATACTTCTTTTGGCACGTTTGAAAAAAATTATCAGAGTAAAATTTTTACGATGCGCGTGCACACCAACAGCCAAAAAGTAACATGATGAAGTTAGCTGTATTCCTTTTACAAGCAGAGAGTTGTGACATACGGGATGAATTCTTTAGCTATTTTTGTTCTGTTACGCCAAAGAAGTATAACTTCTTACGTGCATACACACACACACACATTTTTTTATTTTTAGAACACTACCTTCATTCATAACTTTTGCATTACTCCATCCCAAGTTATCTTCCTTATTTGCAACCAAAACACATTTAGCTACTTCTCTAAAATTAGGAAAAGGTGGGTCTCCGTCACTGCCAATATTATCATTTAAAAAGGTTTCCAGCCTTTTAAGAGGTCCAGGAGGATGGCCTTCCATGGCTTTTATACACACTTGTCGCCTTCGGACTGGGTGCTCTCCAGTCAACTGACATAACTCTTGATACAACAATACTATGTCTGCTTTTAATCTGTATATACATAAATAATAATGTGAATTCTTTTTTTTATATAAAGATAATTTTTATACCTAACACTGCACACTACTACACTTAAGCTATTATATATATTGTTGGTTACATAATGTTAATGGTATTATTTTAATATTTAAAGTAAATACTGCCACTCATACATATCAAACTAATAAGTTTCTATCCTATAGTAGTAAAAAAAAATATCAATATTTAAAAAGTATTATTGAAAGTTTAAAATTGTATAATAAATATATTCTATACATATTATAAAAGTGTAACAGATTGCAGGCAGATTGCAGCATGGAATATATTTTGGATAAGATATTATTGGGAGTCTTTACTAAGCCAATAGAAATAAAAATAAAGATCTTTAGAAATTTTGTATGCAAACGGCATAACTGATTTGGGTATGGGTTTCATTAATATACTGTGGTAAGCTTCACTTAACTTAAGTATTTGTTTTATTTCGATCAGTTTAAAATAAAAAAGTTATGTTTTAAAGAATCACCTAGGAATGAACCCGAGTGAAGCGAGGGTGAGTCACCAGTAATAAATAAAATTCCAAACCAACCAATTAAATTGATAAAAGTTATTTTTTTTATTTGTTGAAAAAAAAAATTAAAAGACTTTTTAAAGGAAAAGAAACTCACTTTTCACTCCGCATATACGGTGAACGCTTACTGTCATTACGTACTTCTTGCTCATCTAGTTTAGCAATTTTTTCTTTGCATTTTGCAATTTTATTTTCAAGCTCTTTAATTTTTTCCATATTATTTAAATTATTAGCAAGATTAAATTCTAAAGTTTTAACAGGTACAAGAAGTCTATTTTCATCACTAGCAGATTCATAAGAAAGATTTATATGTTCATCCAATTTATCCATTTTTTTATCATTTGCTGTATCATTTTCTGTTTCTTTCACATTTTCATTATTCAAACTATTGGTGGGTATGGGTTCTATTGATTTAGAAGGTTCTATTACTTTATGTTCATCATTATTTGTTTCTCTATTAGAAACATTTTCTTGACAGTTAAGTGTATCAATTTTGTTTAGACATATTTCATTATTATTTCCCATTTCATTACTTTTTTCTGTATGTACACTATTTGAGGGACTTAATTCAATAGATTCATCAGCTACATTAACATTTTTACTATTGTTATTGGTTTCCGAGTTACAAACACCATTGTGTATAACTTTACCTTCCTCACCTTTCTCCTCACTAATTGTATTTACAATATCTAAGGCTATAATGGAACTACTTTGATCATATTCTAAGCTTGAGGTAGTTTCTTTATCATCTTCATTTGATTTAAGTTTTTTGGCACACTTATTAAAATTATTCTGATCTGCTTTTGGTCTTTTGCAGGATAGCTTAGAAAACATATTTGCTGTAAAGCAATTAAGATTAAATTGATAAAAAATATTACAATTTATTTGTACAGATAAATTGGAAATCAAATTGTCTTTTAAAGACTTAAATTTTGAAAGTCAATGGTAACGTAATATATAATTATAATGATAATAAATTAATTAAATATTATAAATATTTTTTTTTTATTTATTTGGATAAGCACACTTACAACATACATACACAGCATTTGTATATTAATTAACGACAATAATAATATAACTTATATGTATGTCAATTACTAGTGTACATAGCATTTCCACATTCAATGATTAAAAGCACAAAAAAATCATAACTGTAATATTAAAAACAGAGCCCAAAAATAAATAAATCTAAATAATATCATTTTACAAAGGAAATAGATAATAATAAAAGAAATTGAAATAATAATCATTTACAAAAAAAAAATTAAATTAAGATTAATAATGATCATGCATATTATAATAATTTAGTATCTTATTTCTAAAAATTGGATGAGAGTCATAAAAAATGTTAATGCCAGGTATTGATCTGAGTATATCATTATATTTATTACACAACCGCACCAAGGGGCTTGCTTGCCAATATTAGTCCTAACGCAAGGAGTATAAAATATATTGTGGATGAGAGACTTCTATGTGTTCTAGAAGAGACTGATATTAGTATTTTCTCGGTTAATTTAGAATTAGTTACATTGTTATTGATAATTTTATGTAGGAAACTTAATTCTAAAATTTCGCGCCTACACCCAAAAGAAATCATTTTAAATTTTGTCAAACGTTCTTTGTAAAGTTGTCTATGCGAAAAATCCTTTTCATAAAACGCAAGATGTTTCGTAAAATTACGCTGAATACTTTCAATACGCTGGGAGTGTACGCTATACAGTGAATTCCAGATGACACTGGCATACTCAAGACAGCTACGCACTAATGAATTGTACAAAATTAATTTGGTTTTACGTGAAAATCCTTGTGTATTTCGCTTGATAAAACCAAGGTTTTGCGCAGCTTTAATAACTATATTGTCAATATGTGTTGAAAACGTTAAGCGCCCGTCAATAGTGACTCCTAAGTCTTTAATTTGCGATACTTCTTGCAACAAGACATTTCCAATTGAGTACCTGGAGACAAGTGGTTTTTTTTTCCGTGTAAATTTTATATGAAAGTATTTGGCCACGTTAAGAGTCATTTCATTGAGACGACACCATTCAACAATAGCGTTGAGGTCGTATTGTATTAAATCTACATCTGAATTTGATTAAACTGTCTTGTATAATTTGATCGTCTGCAAATAATAAACACTTACAATGCTTGATGTTGCCAGTGCTATCGTTGACAAAAACCAGAAACAGTAGAGGGCCTAAATGAGAGCCCTGTGAAACCCCACTCTTAGCAAAATACAACTCCGATTCAAAACCAGTCACGGCTACTGTAAGTGGTCTCTGTGTTAAATATGACTGAAACCATCTTATTAGAGTAGTTCCAAGTCCATACTGATGTAATTTTTCTAGAAGTATTTGATGATTTACTTTGTCGAACGCGCTGCTGAAATCAGTATATATAGCATCGATTTGGTCTCCCCTGTCCATCGCTAATGCCAAGTCTGATGTAAACTTAAATATGAATTATTGTGAGTATATATGGATGTTTGTTACTCTTTCACGCCAGAACAGCTGAATAGATCTGGATGAAATTTAGCACAGAGATAGATTATTGTCTGGAATAACACAAGGGCTACTTTTTATCCTGGTAAAATGTACGTTTTTTTTCGTCTTTCTCGAGGCGAACTCAAGTGAAACGAGGGTGTGCCGCTAGTTTGAGAATACTTATACAAGTTTTAATTAGATTCTTTTACCTTTATATTAGTGTAAAATAGTAAGTATAGCAGGTCTCTAATTTATTAATCAAGTAAATTTAAACTCCCAATCAAGACATGGTTTTTAACCTTTAAACAGAATACAAGAAAGAAAATGGTTGAAAAAAAGATAAATATTTTACCTGTAACATTTTTGTCTAAAGTTATCAATTGTACTCTTCTCTTTTCAGTGCCTAATTCAGATAAGATATTACATAAAAATTTTATATGCGAAAATTTGTGGCGAGGATCATTGTTCAAATTATCGAGAGTTTTCCTTAACGCCGTTTCAAATTTTCGAGAAGTTTTAACATTCTTTTCTAATCTATTATAATCTATTAACAATTTATTATTTATTAAGGAAAGCATTCCTGTTGAGTTTTCTAAATTTAAGCATTTCTCTAATATTTCACAAAATAGAAGGTTCTCTTGTTTTATATGATGATAATTATTAATTTTTTCTATATTATTTGTAGTAAATAACACAGATTCTATGACCTAAAAATAAAAGATTCTTAAGTTAAAGAAAATTAATAAAGCCATGAATTATAATTATTATAAAAAGTATTGATAATACTTACACAGTCATCATCATATTCTGACAAATCTATTATATCTTCCATTATATTTATATGTAAGAACAACTATATTTCATAAACTAATCATGATATTAAAAAACATAAGTAATATAAATATAAATCATCTGTTTTATGTGCCTTATTTGAAAATATTCACAATTTGACAGTTGTTTCAAAAATCTAACTAAGTTTTGCATATTGTTGTTCCTGGTCTATGGTTTTGCAGGATATAATATTATTGCCATTTTATATTGACTGTGGTCAATTTTTAAAACCATAGGATTATTAAATACTAAAAAAAATTTTTTTGGATCATGTGCTGTGCTATGGGCTATAAAATTAACACTTACAGGAAAAAAAATAAGGGAAGTGCTAAGAAGTCGTGGCCACAGACATAGAGAATGGATTGAGCAATACTCAGAGTATTATACAACTTTGATTTCATGAAATGAAAAGAAAATGTCAGAAAGATTGAAAGTGAACGAGTAGCGAACACCTGCCTTTTGTTCCAATTTGAATTTGTAAATGGAGTGTAAACAAAATATAAGTTATTAAAATGTATATTATTATAATATTAAAATGGTTATAAACTTATATATATTTTAATTATAATACATCCTAGGTAAAGATTATACCTACTTTGTTGTTTCAGATTAAGTGTTCAAAAGTTCAGTGATAAATGATAATTATCAAAAAAAGAAATAATTTGTCATAGAATCCGAAGTAATCACTATTTGCGCTATTTCGTGATTTTCGATGAAATTCAATGTGTTCACAATTTTACATACGTATAAGAAAAAAAATCCGAGATTAAAAGATGTAAATTAATATAGTTTAAATCCCCATGTGGTATTGTCTTAGAGTATACATAGGCTATGTATAGGTACTCTAAGAGTATTGTTGTCCAATTTTACTAATTGTTAGAACATGTCCAATATACTTCATTGTTAAAACATCATTAATATATCGATAAAATAAACATCCCTACTTTGAAACATCACAGAGGAAGAAATTATTAGTAAATAGGTACTTTAAATCTAAAATATACCTTGTCGCAAAGTTGATTTTAATTAATTAACATTCTAATTAATAATTCATATTGTAATATTAAATAAGTTTCTTTAAAAAGTTAATAGCTAATATTAATAATTACCGATGGTACGAATTACCTCCATTACTAATACTATTCTTCCTATTGTTATTTTTGCACTGTAAAATGGAACAATATGGCATAGTTGCGAAAAAAGCCTGCCACAACCATAGATATATAGATTGGACTAACTGTCCGAGTGTTCCTTTGCCAATACCTACTTAACTAAAAATTATATTGGAAGCTGGAAAGGCACAACAGAGACAAAATGAATGAGCATCCAGAAGTAGCCTGTATTAATTGAAATACGATTTATTTAATGGTTATATAACCAATAATAATCCCTTCAATACGAGGGGGATCAGACCATAGCCCACAACGCTGGCTTCATGTGTCTTTCGAAAACATGCTAGGTTCTCTCAGACATGCAGGTTTCCTCACGATGTTTTCCTTCACTGTAATACAAGTGGTAATCATGTTGAAAATGATTCGCACATGAAAATATCAGAGGTGCGAGACCCAGGATTTGAACCCGCTTCAGTCAGTATTCCAAGTAAGCATGTTACCTACTGAGCTACCACTTACCTTTTTTTCTAAATATGCGACACATAATACAACTGGTATACATACATTTATAACATAATGACAGCGAAATCAGGACGGGTAATCTATACATATAATAAAATTGTAACTAAGTCGAATCTGTACATTAAACATTTTTTGGAAAATCTAATTGAAATAGACATTATTATCGATACAGAGTCCGAATGTATAGTTTTTAGAATTTTTGTCTGTCTGTCTGTTACCGCATCACGAGAAAACCACTGGACAGATTTTGATGAAATTTGGTATGATGATAGCTGGTTATCCGGGTCAACATATAGGCTACTTTTTACCGCGCGAAAATATCTCATTTCTGAGAAAAAATACAAACACTGCATTTTAAGAGTATACTAATATGTAAAACCTAAGAATTTAGTTTTTAGTCATCTGAACGCGGGCGGAGCCGCGAGCAATGCTAGTATTTTATAAAAACAATGACTGCTACGTATTACCAAACAATAAAAAACTAATTGTAAGCTAATAAATACTTAGTAAATTCAAAGATTATTAAATTTATAAAATCCATTAAAAATATTATTGTTGTAAAGAAATTTTTGACGCTGGTATCTCTACAGCAGAAGCTGTGTGTACATTTACATTACTGTTTGGCTTCATGTTTAGTTCTATGACAGTCTGTTTTTATTATTCCTTAGTCAGAGACTTCGTTGTCTATTATACGAGTACTTATAATAAAACTGTAGAAGTCGAATGTCTGTACATTGAAAAAAATGCTAAAAACCGAGTAAGGGGGATGGATGTAAGAAAAGAAATAGAACAAATCCAGATCTTTTTAAATTTTTTTGTTTCTTTGTCTGCTTGTCTGTTTGTACGGGCTAATCTCCGAAACTGTTGGACCGATTTAAATGAAATTTTGCATGGTGGTACCTTATATCCCCGGTTAACATTTTAGATACTTTTCATCCCGGAAAATTCAAGAGTTCCCTTGGGATAGATTTGTTTGCGCTTTTATAACATAAAGAAACTCTTAAAGAAAGAGGAAATTATACAACTCACCAAAAGAAGAAGTGTTTGTCCTAAAAATTTTTTTATGATTTTTCTATTCATAATGGTTTAAAATAAAAGAAGAATATCCATATTCCTCAAAAACTTTGCTTTTGTGGTAGTTATGATAATAGGCAAATCTTTTTATTGAGGTATCATATTTGAAAAAAGTTCAATAGTTCTGATATTTTTAAAAATACCGCGCATTCATTTAATTCAAAAAAACAAGGGGAACGTTTTCATGAAGACATCATGGCCTTCGAACACAGTTGTCGAGGCCAATACAACGAAAATATGGTGGGCGACTACATTTGGAGCTTAGTGAAAGAACATATACATACATAGGTATAGTAAAAATATAACGGATCGCTGTCTGTACATGGAAGATATATGAGAAAAAATATTATTAGGACCTTTATCAACGCAAATAACACCCAAAACAATGATTGTTAGAATTTTTCTCTATTTGTCTGTGCGTTTGTGCACGCTAATCTCAGAAACGGCTTATCCGATTTAGATGTAGTTATCACTAATATATTGTGGTCAGCATTTAGTGTTTGTTTCATGTCAATCGGTTCATAAATAAAAAAAGTTATGCCAATTTAAAGAATCATGTCGAACATTTGTTAAACCGTTTCCTGTGGGGTAGATCTGTTTGTACTTTTCCAGAGGCGAACCCGAGTGAAGCGAGGGTGAGCCGCTTGTATATAAATATGTTCGTTTCGATTTATTTATAAATAAAAATTTTAACATTGTTTTTTCTAAAATATTGATCAACCGTTCTTCTATAAACAAAAGCAAACTTTTTCAGGCCATATATTTTTTTCTGTTTAACTTATCGCTAAATCTATCTAAATTGCACACTCTCATTATCATCAAAGTCAAAATTCGTGTTGACCTATGTCATTAGAGCCATATTTCTCATGCTTGATTGAGTCAGAAAAAAAACTTGTGTTCTGATAAATATATTTTTATTTAGAGAGGCCAATTAAAAACTATTGTATTATGAAGGAAAACATAAAAAAATCCCTATACGGGTATACAATTATAACATTAACAATTGGCAAACTGCTCCATGCATTTAAAATAATTATTTTATTAATACGCAGATTTCTTATTATATAGATCATCTTAATTTTAACTCACTTTCTAATTTACAATAAAAATACTAAGCAATAAAAATGCAAAAGAGATGGACAATAATATTTTGGGCTAATTCAATCGTGATTAAAATGTAAATCTAAACAATAAAAGGGCTGAAAGTTTGGTGTATGGGAAACCACTATTTTCATCTATAATAATGTACGTATTTTATATTATAGTTCAATTTTTTTTTAGAATAAACTTGTATATGCTATTTTTTATAGAGGTTACATTTAATGATTTATTATATAGGGTCATTATTTGTATTTTCTATGTTAAGAATGTTTACCTCCAGTTACTTTTAACAATATTAGTAATATATTACTTATATAATTATAGTATAAGATCCCGATCTATGTGGTGGATACCTCTCTTTTTCCATGCGAAATATATTTTATAAACAATAAAACATTAACAAACACGACGCAGGGGAGGTGTCACCAAAAATTTGCTCCGGCTATTTTTAGTAAAAAAAAATTCAACTAATAATTTTTTTAAATGTACAAGAATTCGAAAGTAAAAGACTTGTAGAAAGTGCAATCATAAGCGTGGCGGCCCTTTTCGATTCCACATTACTTGACATCCAGGTATAGAAAGGTAAATTCAAATAGTTAATTGCTTGTATTGGTTAGTATTTTCCAGATCCAATTAAGTATTAAAATTAGAAAATTTGATTACAAATTTAATGATATAGTGTTGTCATACCAAAATATCTCCAGACTAGAGGTTTTTTAAATTAAAAACAGCCTTGACCAAATTTTTGGTGACAACCCCCCTGGGTCATGTTTATTAATGTTTTATAGTTTAAAACATACAGTTCGCCTGGAAAAAGAGCAAGGGGTCCACCACATAGATCGGGATCTTAGGCTATTATATTATTATATAGAATTATATAAACGACGTTGACCCTAAACTTGGTCTCTTCAAATAGAATATGTTGTTAAATAAGAAGCCTACCCTTTACGAACACTTCTTTATCACTAATATTATTAGCAGATTTTCTTAGTGGCTGTTTTCGGAACTAGTTACGGCAGATTACTACTTAACTATTTTTAGATTATTTTAAGGTGTATAGAAACATTATTATGAGGCTAAATATTGACGGATAAAATTAGTACTCCCAATAGCCAGTAGGGAATCTATTCACTGCCAATAAAATGCCACAAGAATACTCTGAATTATAGTAAACACGAGAAGACACATTTGTTAGAGAACCCACCTAATTTTTAATGCAGATTTATTTTATCATCTTGACCTTTATGTTGACGTTCCAGAAAAATAACTTTAAGAATTATATAGGCAGTTACGTATAGACGATATCTGGTAAATTTTCTAATTCCTAAGCCCTTATTGAATATAACAGAAATATTTTTTATATTTATTAAAAATAACAAATATGGACATTTACAGCACCATATTGGAGCGTCATATACAATTTTTACAATAATCAAATGCATTGACATCATATTATATTCTATTTAACATGAATCCTACGATTTTGAATAATCTTCTTGAACTATGTCGTTGTTATTTTTTTTAACCCAAAATCTCCAACTCATCTGTAAAAAAAAGTTTTATTATATACTAGTTAAATATTATTGGAAAAAATATAAAGATATTATATTTTATTAACTTTTGTATTCAGCTCTTTTTTTAATATCCCACTGTTGGAACTTTCTTCAATTCGAGGGAGATCAAGCCATATTCCACCATGTTGGCCAAGTATGGGTTGGTGGACTGCACATGTCATATGAAAACTTGCTAGGTTCTCTTATACTTGTGCAGGTTTCGTCACGATGTTTTCTTTTACCGTAAGACAAGTGGTAATCATGTTGGAAATGAATCGCAATGAAAATATCATAGGTGCAAGACCCGGGATTTGAACCCGTTTCACTCGGTTTCCCAAACAAACGCGTTACCACTGGGCTACCATTGCTTCACTACATAGTATAAAACAAAGTCGCTTCCTGCTGTCTGTCTGTCCCTATGTAAGCTTAGATCTTTAGAACTACGCAACGGATTTTGAAGCTTTTATTTTAATAGATAGAGTGATTCAAGAGGAAGGTTTATAATATGTATAATACATGCATAATAAAGTACAGAAAAGACGAGGAATTCAAAGATTTGTATTTCATACTAACCATTAAAACGTACCTAGGGACGAACCCGAGCGAAGAGGGCGAGTCGCTAATAATATATATGGATGGAGGAATAGCGTACCGGAGTGTTCGCTGCCTCAGTCGGCGCGCGCGACCTGCCGGCGCTGCAGCAGCGCCTCGGCCAGGTCGTGCTGCAGTGCCGCCTTCTGCCGCGCCACGTTGGCCGGCACTGTGGACCGCAGCCCGTTCACTATGTCCTTTGTTTTACCTGGAAGTGTTAATAAGTCATAATTTAGTGTAATAATTATAATAGCTAATTACTGTTACTTTGCTCGTGTACCATATATGTATGTAGTAATGTGTTACTTCAGGTCATGGTAAATAATAAATATGTTGTGACATTAACACACGACACCATCTACATAGTTCCATGGTAAGCTATGAGGCTTGTCTTATAGATACCAGATAGTTGATACACTACACACTACTTTAATAACATCCATATTATAAATATAAAACACCCACGACTGGAGTACAAACATTCGTGCTGCGGGATTCAAACCCGCGACCGCTGGCACAGCAAGTAGGGTCACTACAAACAGAGCCAAATGTGTCGTCTAAATGGTATATCTGTATACTAAAGTTCATCCAAATCTATCTAGCTGTTTTGGTGTAAATGAGTAACATACACAAACATTTTAAAACCCAATCTGCTGAGCATAAGTCTCTCCTCAATGTGAGAGGGATCATGTTATAGTCCACCACGCTGGGCAACACGGGTCTTAATGTGTCCTGTCTTTCGAAAACTATAAAATCTTAGTGTGAGACCTGGTTTTGAACCTGCTACCTTGATTTATTAAGCAGTTGTGTTAGATATTATTTGCCAATAACATTATCAGCTTAATTATGCCTGTGGCCCGAATTTTATTATTGTAGCGTATTTTTATTTAAATGACATTTTCGCATATACATAGACCATGCGTTTCCTTGTATTATTAATTTAGAAGTTATTATAATATATTTTTGAGCAAAGTTTATTATTACATCATGGAATTTTTTGCAAGTGATAATGTGCAGGTCTATTATTTCTTGTATGGACGTAGGATAAGTAGATAAACATTGTATTATAATGTAGTAAGCAAATACTATTTTTAAAAGAGCAACTGTTGAGTTTATCGCCTGCTATTCTCAGGAGAACCACCTGCCGAGCCACAGACTTATGTACTCACATTTAATTTATATTTTAAAAATGTAAAAATTGATGATGCAAGAGTACTTGTGAATTTTTTTTTGAATAGAGTATAATTTGATTTCATTAATATATAGCACTACACAAAAGTTTTTAGAAAAAACACTACATAATAATCTATAGTAATATTATAAAGAGGTAAAGTTTGTGACTTTGTGAGGTTGTAGGGGTAATCTCTGGATCTACTGAACCGATTTAGATGAAATTTGGTAAGAAGATAGATTGAGACCCTGAGAAGGACATAGGTATACCGTTATTCCGGAAATCATACCTTAAGGGCGTGAAATGGGGATGAAAGTGATGCAATTGTGATGTGAAAGTGAGTGATGAAATTGAGAAGCGAGCTAGGGACGAACACGAGCAAAGCGAGAGTAAGTCACTAGTATATTATAAGTATACCTAGCTTATTATTCAAAATTAAGTATTAATTAATTTTAAATACAAATTCAAATTCCTGTATCAAGTATTAATAATTGAAATATATAATAATAATGAAAAAAAATTGAAAAATGTCCACTTACCAAAATAGATGTCATTCAAAGTATTTCTGATCTTATTTTCCATGTCCTCGACCATGCGACCAATGTTGGCAATGTGTGGAGTGACATCACTTACAGAGGAATCTTGCTCTGCCTAAAACCCAGAAAACATCATATGAAGTAAAAATTAGAGAAATAACTTTCAAATTGCAAACATAGAAGTTTAGTGACAAGATTTTTTTTAACACCTCGTGGTTAAATTCTAAGAAATTAATTATTAACCAAGCCACCTGTGGCTCTGCGTGCTTTGAAAGGCTAATTATCTTATTAAACACTATACATTTTGATAACTATACAGTTTGATAACTATATAATAATATGTATTTAGTACAAAAATATGATTTTAATCTATAGAGATAAATAAAATTGTTTGTTTGTAATATCAAAATAACAGCTTTTTGCTAAATGCGTATGAAATTATAAATCGGTATTTATAAGAAAAACACAATTTTTAAAATTTGTCTATAAGTCTGTTTGTTCTGGTTAATATCCAAAATGGCTGGACTGATTTTGACGGAATTTTCACTGGCAGATAGTTGATGTTATGAGAACTAACTTAGGCATTTGTTTTTTTTTTGTGATTTATTATCTGCAATCAGTTTAACTATAAGCAGATTGTGTGAGGGTACTTGTCTGTCGAGTGTGCTCTCCACTGAGAACATCTACTCATTTATTGTCAATGGACTCAGTCACCACTGATTATGTCTTTCCTTTTGAGCCTTTTGTTATAGCCTCGACGTGTAAGTTGTGAAGCTATAGGATTGGGGTGATTTTGCAGTCGTTGGTGATAGGTTTGCGAAGTGTTTTTGATTTCGTCTTTCACAGTAGACATGTTGAAGTGATCGTGGATTTCATTGTTGGTCACAAACCATGGCGAGTTGCCAATAGTGCGGAGGATCATATTCTGCATTCTTTGCAGGATGGTTATGTTTGAGTTACTGGCACTGCCCCATAGCTGTATGCCATACATCCAAATAGGCTTCAATACTGTGTTGTAGATAAGCAATTTGTTGTCTACAGAGAGTTTGCTGTTACGTCCAAGCAGCCAGTGGAGGTTACGGAATCGTATGTTTAGTTCCTCTCTTTTAGCTTTGATATGCCGCTTCCGTGTTAGTCTTCGATCTAGACGAAGCCCCAAATACCGAACACAGTCAGAGTGGGGTAATACTGTGTTTTCTAACTTTACCAGGGGGCAGTTTCCCTTTCTCAAAGAGAAAGTTACTTGCACCGATTTTGTTGTGCTAGCTTTTATTCTCCACTTTTGGAGCCATTGTGTTATTTCATCTAGTCCATTTAAGGCATTTTGTAGAATGAATTAGGGTTCTGCTCAAAAAAATTACAACATACCTCAAGGACGCACCCTCGCTTCGCTCGGTAAGTAGCTAGTTTTACATAAATTTGGATTTGTATTACGAAGTTCATACAATAAAGAGAGATTTAAGTATATTTTTATTTAAGTAGTGGTGTATTTATTAGTAGCATGGTATATTACTGTGGCAAACAATCATCCAGACTCATTCTTGAGTGTACACATTAGTATTGGTATAATTAACACTTTTTTATAAATGTTTGTTAGTATAGTATGTATTTATTAATGCATACATGATTAGTATATTGCAAAAGGGCACTGAGGATGCCATAAAAATATATGTTATTACATTACCTGTCTGGTAAGACTGCCTCCAAGATTCATCGTACCACTGCCTTCCTTATTAGTTTGTAGCCAGAGCATAGCAGTAGAGGTCAGTTTATAATGGGCATTGCGGCCTGAGCTCTTCTCTACAACTTCTACTACATGGATAGAGTCCCAGCATCCCTTAATCTTTTGAGACCCATCACCAGCTTTCTTAATTAGAATTACACCTGCAAATTATAAGTATTTAGTGCAGTAAAAATTATACATTAAATGTATTATAATAATAGATAGGGATTAACAAATTTGTTTCTACATTCTAAATTGCTTATTAGTCCACAGTATTCAATAAAAGTTAGAATTGAGTTTTGAAATTAATCTTTTTTGTACAAAAATAAAATCCAAATGTATATAAAATGAATAAAGTTAAATTATGACAATACACTCCAAGAAAAAAAAATTATGCAAATAATCATAACAGGATGCTTTCTCGTGTAAAATGCATTAATTAGTATGTACAATGATCATAATTTAACTAACAAAGAAAAATATAAATATAACCTGCAAAGCCATGATCCATATCCCACAAATATACAGAGCTTACTCCTCCTTCAAAGTACATCTCTCTGTATTGGTCAAAGGCATGGTTCGCTTCAATTTCTAACTTTCTTAGCCTTTCAGAAGGCATGGATCCGTCTTCTAAAGGAGGATCGTACGTGTTCGACCATGGTGACCGGTACGAATCACCATCACGATTGTAATCACACAACAAGTAATCTTTTCCGTTATTACGGTCTTGTGCAATTTTAAGGGGTTGGTCGACCGATGATAACAAGTCCTCACATAAACTTGGTACTAGGTCAATCAAATCCGTCAAATTTTTCTCTATTTGTTGAGGAGGCAGTCTCCTCATCAAGTCTAGAGCACAGTCCATTTGTTGTTCTGTCTGTAATAAAATAGTTGCTTTATAAATAGGAGATATGTTAAATGGAACAAGTAGGTATTAGTCATCATAACAAATATTCCAATATCTTGTCAAGATTTTTAAGATTAATGAATGGAGCTAAGTTTACCATGGTTCAACTTAAACTTTAAAAATAAAGTTTAAAACTATATGTTGGAAATAAAAACAGTCGTAGAATTTATCACGATACGCAAAATTGTAAATTGCTAATCCGAACTTGGATGAAGTTATTAATATGACATTTAGTTTAATGTTGCTTTCGTTCAAAAATAAAATCAAATTCTGTACAAAATTAAGCTTAACAAAAAGTTTGCGACAGTATGACAGTGAAATATTAAAAAGTAATAAATATGTTACAATACGAACAACAAAAAAGCGCAATTATTATATTTTGGTAACTATAATCTAAATAGATTTTTCTGTTTAGAAACAAAGATGTGCTACGTCATAGGGAGCTTATGAATGTTTTATGTTGTCATTCTTGTTTATTCAAATGACGGCTTAAGTTACTCATTGTCTGTCCTTGTCATTTGTAACTTAAAAACTTTTGTAAGAAGAGGATCGTTATAGTTGTGTAAGTATCATTTCATCTTACAATTATATGATTTTAGCGCTACAGTTTCTCATATCCTGTAAACTGTCAGTTTGTCAGTCCAATGTTGTTGTGTCAAACTTTTGTTGATAGTACTTTTAAATAAATAGGTATTGTATGATAATTTATTAAACTTAGTAAATGAAATATTACTATGCATAAAACCAGTGATGCTTGTTAATTCATTAAAGTGCTCAATATCAAAAAGTTTTCTTTGTGCTTATTCAAATGATTCATGATATGGGAATGTTCGGCAAATAACACTTTAGCGACTATTATACGTGCCCAAACGGGAAGTAAATCACATAGCTAGAGGCCATTGGGCTTAAACAATGATTGCTTATTAATCATTCTTTTATTATTAACAAGAATTGTTTCATAGGTTATGCAAAGAAACCTTACTGTAAACCTGAAACATTCAGGAATAAAGATTGGAAGATAATATCAACATACCTAAAAACTTAAACAATTGTCTTAGTATCAGATTAATTACTTACATTTTTGTTGATTTTAATATAGTTTAGAAATGCTCCTAAGTACACTTACATTGCATACATTTTGTAAAATAACTTTATTGTATATTGTATTCCAGATAAGTGTGTGTCAAGTAATTTTGTCATGATGCCGACTCAACTTGTGGGCCAGGATAACCATTCAAATGATGTCAGGGTGAAAACTGTGTACAGTGGTGATGTATTTATCACCTACATCAATCATAATATCACATTAGAGGAGTTCACTCAAGAGATGATGGCTATTTGCCGATTTGTTCCTGATCAGGTACAATTACAACACATGAACAACTTTAGACTGTGTGTCCTCTTTTCCCTTTTTTCTATGTAAAGTACAGTATTTATTAATATTTCATTTATACTTAAAATTACAATTCTTATTATAAAATTTGTATTGAAGCTAAATGAAAAATTTAAACTTAGTGTTTTTCAAGTTATTTATATAATAAAGAGTCTAAGTTTATTCTTATAATATAACACTTTTTTTAATAAGAAGGATAGTAATGTTTTATAATCAACTGTTATAAAAATCACATTGTATCTTTTTAAATATTGTCTTTTTTGCTTCTGCCTATTATATATTATAGTTTATAGTGGGTAATCTTTAAAAATAGTAAAACTTGTATAAAGTTAAGAGTCGTTGCTCTTAGAATGTCATGCTTGGCTGAAGTTTTTTTGTGAAGCTAAAGTATTGAGGTAAAAAAATAAATATACAAAATCAAAAAGTATTGTAAAATTTTTTGCCAAATTTAGTTTAGAATGCATCTGCCACCATTAATAATAAGTTCAATCCATTAGGAAGAAATAGTTTGTTTTTTAAGAAATACCTAATAGTAATGTAATATTTTTAATGAAAACCTACAATTTAAATGCAGTTTGACAAAAGTTACTGATGCATGTTTTTTGCATATACTTATCTAAGCTACTTAATCTTTGGTAAAATTTAAAATACTTGATAATATGATAAGATAAGTTTATTCATACTACCAACAAAAGTTATGACTATAAAATTGCATTTATTGTAATTACATATTTTAATCAATAAGTGAAAAGAGAACATTGAGATTGCTTTACTTCATTTATAATACAGCGATTTAATAAATTAATTCTTTTACAATTTGTTGGAAGTGCATTAATTGTTATTTAGCTTAGGAGAAATAATCAACAATTTATACTGTTTAGTAAGTGGTTTTATTAAAATATTTCAATTCAATTCTCTTGTTAATGGCTTCAAAGTGTGCCAGTTTATCACAGACTGCTTTGCCAATGTCACATAGAATTTATTATAATAAAAATAACTGTTAAAGTAAGATAGGTAGTCTCGAATAAGTTTGATAAAACAATCACAGATGGCAGTGTTTCTATTTTACAAGACTTGAAATATTATAATTTATTTTACTAATTTCTTTTTTATGATAATAGCTATAAATTACAAGTTACAACTTTGTTTTATTCAAGTTGCAAGTAATATTAAAACTTACAAAAATAAATAAAAACCGGCTTCCAGGCACTAAAATGTAAAAAATAACTAAATAGGGGTTTTCATTTAGAACAGATACCTAATAAGATATTTTCGAAGAAGATAATATTTTAACTATAATTAGAGTTCATACCTAGTCATATTTATCTATTAGATATTTACCTATTATATATTCATATCTTAAAATATTGTCGGCTAACCCTGACTTCGAAAATATCTGATCAGGTATCTATTCTAAATGAAAACCCCCGTTTAGTTATTTTTTATATTTTAGTACCTAGAAGTCGGTTTTTTTAAGTTTTTATTTTTTTATTTTAGTGTAGACGTAATAAGCAGCTAATTTGTAAGAAGAAAGTTTTTTAATAACATATTCGAAGAAGCAATTTATTAAAAAAAAAATATTATTGTTTTTTTCAAAACCGCTCGACCGATTTTGTAAAAATTTTAATGGGACCACCTGGGAAGTATACTCTTCGAAATAAAAAATATATTTCCAAATCGGTTCAGGCGTCTTCGAGTAATCTGTGAACATACGTAAAAAAAAAGATTCTGACGAATTGAGAACCTTCTCCGTTTTGGAAGTTTGTTAAAAAATTTACGAAATGCGCTCTTATCTTTATATATTCAGCAAGTTATAATGTAGTACATAAATTCTGAACTTTTCTATAATTTATTTAACATTGTTCTTAGGTGTTTACTATGAAGTGGGTGGATGAAGAGGGCGACCCGTGTACAATATCTACGCAGTTGGAGCTAGACGAGGCGCTGAGGCTGTATGAGCTGAATCGGGACTCGGAACTAACAATTCACGGTAAGTTAAATATATTTAAAATATATAAAATCTTTATTCTTTTCCACATATACATTTTTCCACACACACGCACACACACACACACACACACACACATATATATATATGTATATGTATATATATATATATATATACATACATATTGCTTGTAGAACCATTACAAAATAACAAATACACACAACATAATCATAAGTAATAAGCAAAATAGCTTAGAAGGTAAAATGCTTATTATTTTTTGGAGATGATTGGATTTCTTCAGTGGTGGTTCTTGGAACTAACAACACTGGTTTACAGTCCTACTTAACAGTAAAAAAAATAATTATTTCCTCTTTTGTGGAGGCTTAGGCATTTCCATATCCATACTTAATATTATAAATGTGAAAGTGTGTAAGGATGAATAGATGTTTATTGCTCTTTCACGTCAGAACGGCTGAACGAATCTGGATGAAATTTGGCACAGAGATAGATTATTTCGAAATAAATAAAATATTAGAGAAATTTATGGTTCCCGTGGGACAGGTTTGTTCATGTTTTTCACTAGAGGCGAACCTGAAACGAAGCGAGGGTGAGTCGCTAGTACTTAATAAATGGCATAAACTAATCAAATGTGACTTTATTGCTCATATTTAGTTCATTTATTTATGAATCACACTTACCAGTACGAAATTTGCTAACCACAAACAAGTATGAGATGGACATGTTTTGTAAGCGCCATTTGTTTACAATATGTTAAATTGTTCGTTCTCTGTAGATTATTGTCAGTTTAAATGGCTTTATTTAGTTGGTTATTTAGTTTGGTTATTATATTATATAGTTATTATTGCTGGTCAATGGTTATGTGCTAGTGGAGCTTACACCTTAGGTTGATTTCCCCTTTAAACCTCCACTAAGTAGGCCATACACGCTAGGGTGAATCTGAAATGTATGCCGGTACAAACCAACTTGTCAGGCAAACCGGAGCTTTTTCTTCGCCTGTACAGGCGAATAGAAACAACATGAATTTTAATATTTTTTACCCGTGAGTATATTTCATTTATACTTAAAATTGTAAAAAAAGTGGTAGCCCAGTGGTATCGCGCTTGCTTGGGAAACCGAGTGAAGCGAGTTCAAATCCAGGGACTCGCACCCCTAATATTTTCATGTGCGAATCATTTCCAACATAATTACCACTTGTCTTAACGGTGAAGGAAAACATCGTGAGGAAACTTGCATGTCTGAGAGAACCTAGCAAGTTTTCAAAAGACATGTTAAGTCCGCCAACCTGCACTTGGTCAGCGAGGTGGACTATGGCCTGATCCCCCTCGTACTAAAGGGAGGCCCGTGCCCAGCAGTGGGACGTTAAAAAGGGCTGAATACACAACATACTTGTGCAGTTAAACTGTGCAGGCAAACCTGAACGCGTGTGGCGGTCGCATGCACAGGCGTCAGTTGTCAGGTGATTGCGAGAAGGGAAAGACGCGGGTTCTCTACAATATGTCGTTGTCTCGTAAGCGGAACTCAGTTATAGAGGAGTTTATAGACATATACAAAACTGAGTATTGTCTTTGGCGCGTAAAATCTAAAGATTATATGTTTATTCCCCTTTTGCAAAGTATCTTAATGTCACTGTTTGTCTTTCATGAGGATATCGCCTCAGCTTTTCTCATTATTGTATCCTGCTTTTCAACTAAGGGAGTCACCGTTGATATCAGTTTAAGATACGTCTTTTTATCCATCCGTAGGTAATAGCGGTAATCATACGGTTCAAATTTTAGTTGTTCCAATAAGTTGACATGGGAGTATTATTTTCTTTGCGGTAAACATGATTTACACAACTGAGAGTTTGTACAGGTTTTCCGCTACGTGTATGGTCTCTACTCAATTCAGGTTTGCCTGCACAGTAGAACCGTATATGTAGTTATGCCTTTCAGGTTCACCCTATCGTTGTATGGCCGGCTTTATTAGCTTGATCGCAGAAGTACAAGTACGGACGTAGGATCTTCTTATATCAACTTGACGCATTAAAATCTATTATTAATATAATTCTATTAAAATGTTAATCATCTATCCAGCTTTTATATTCAAATTATATCCTAAATAATGAAAAAACTCTATCTGACCTGTTCTTTTGTACATTGATTTAACAGGTAAAAAGATAAAAATATATCATATAAATTATGGATGGTTTTCACTACATGCCAAACAAACCTTCGAGTTAAATTTACAATTTGTTTATTTACAAGCTAAAACTATAAAATTAATGAGAACGACATTATTATCAAGTCACATAATGCTTATATATATTATAGCACCATAATAGCGATGTCGATTCTAGAATTTCATCTTGTGTAAGCCCTAAAAATAAAAAAGACAATACAAAACTTTGATCCCAATAAAGGTAGACAGCGAAAACGTGACTTTCTGCATATTGTCTTTTGACGAATTGTATGAAACGATTGTTGTTTGTATTAATATAATTTGAACATAATCTTCATAGTAGTACTTACTGATATTTGAATGACTTAAAAATTAGTGAAAAATGTTGTTGCTATAAAATTTGTATTTCAATGTAAAACCTTCTCAAAGTGAATATTATTTTGTTGTGTTTATTTTGATTGGTTTGCTTTCTCGTCAGGCATTTTGGCAGTTTTTCAACAATTGTGTCTCAGTATATTGTTACTTTAAGTTTTTGGAAATGTGTTACATATTTATTATTTATATTTATTGCTTATATTATTATTATTTTATATATTTATTATTTACTAGCGACTTACCCTCGCTTCGCTGGGGTGAGTCCCCTAGGTACCTACGTTTTAATTTTTTTGAGCAGGACTTTTAAATTTCTTTTTTTAAAAAAAGCCGAAGTGACTCCTTTTAACATCAGCTATCTGCTAATGACGTCGTTTCTTCAAAGTCAGTCCAGTCGTTTCGGAGATTCGCCGGAACAAACAGACAGACAAAAATTTTAAAAATTGTGTTTTTCCTATAAATACCATATATAATTTCATATGCATTTGATAAAAAGCTGTTATTTTGATATTACAAACATTATATTACAACTTCGATTTTTTTACCTGTTCAGATAATATTCTAGACATTCTTACACCTAGAATTTTGAACAAACTTTATTCAAAAGACTTAACACGGTACCTAAATAAATATAAAAATAGATAAGTAAATTCATATAAATTAAATATTGTATTATACATACAGATATCGTACAACTTAATTTGCGTCTCCGAGAAAATTTAAGGAAAATATTTAATTTCGATAACGGCGCCGTGTTGTCCATTATCATAAATGAATAATTTATTCTTCAGTAAATAATTTATTCGAGATTCGACGTGGATTTCGATTTGTCAACCAAATGAAACATTAAAAGCTACATCGGTTACGTTATCGAGCGTGTCCCGATGACACCACATTACATACTTATCGGGTATTTCGCGTGAATATGCCTATTTTCACTGTTTACCCGGGAGGGTATTGTAGATTTTCGCTATAAAATCCTTATCTGCCCGCATTGCGAATCCGGTCGGCCGCCATTACCATATTCAGATTGGTATTCTGTCGGCGCTGTTCCTCTCCTTTTTTCACCAAACCCCTGATCACGCGTATATCCAGTCACGTCCAAAGGGGATTCTATCCCACTAATAAGTTTGTTTCTATTCGACTGATTGTTTTAGTTTTTCCATCTAGGAATGCACATTGCGATGTATCGAAGGACGTTGATTGTTGTGCGGCTTTTTCCATTTATTGGTCTGAAAGTCGCACCGATATTGTTCTCGATCTATTTATTTTCTCATATTCCTACACAGAGCAAAGGATACTGTACGCTTGATAGTGGCGTATATATCCCAAGAGGATTTAGGAAGGCCGTTAAAGTTTGAGCGTTCCAAACCGAGAGTAAATAAAACAGGAGGCGCCCAAACTTGTAAGCAAACAGGGGCGGAGGAACTTGCTCTAATAAAGTACAAACATTGCGGAACGCTTTGGTGCCCAACGTGGGCCAAGTTTGCTCGGCAATGCTAGTCGCTGTCGCTGCGTAATTAGGGACATTTTAATTAACTTTGTGCGCGTTATAAATGCCGATTTCAAATCCTATTTGTGTTAATTGAATATGTGGCCCGTGTGTTAAGCCGCCTTTGTTTGATATTATTCATTAATTCATTCGCTCTGCCAGTTTGGTAATTGCCTTTCTGTCGGCGACTGGGGAGCAAAGTGTTAAAATTGTATGAATCCAATACTTGAAAGGCTTTAACACAAGTAAGCATAATATAAAGAGCTTTCTAGTTTTTCGGCGTAAAACTGAAAATTGAGATTGGTCATTCATTGCGTGGTTTATATTTCTCATAGTATTATAATAACCATTTAAAAGTTTGTAGAAAGAGCTTTTTCATTGATACAGTCGGAAATGTACAACCAAGTTTCTCGATAACATAGCGTCAGGAACTTTAATTTGTATTATCCGATAATTATCTTTGCATTACTTCATTGGAATTTTGGACTTATCTCCAAACTTATTTTAGCCGAAACTCGTGGAGCAGGATTTTAACAAATTAATGTTAATTTTAGAAGGTAAATACTTCGATTTTAATTAGAAAGTTAACTATGAAGTGCTATGTATATCCGACGGCAATATAATACAAATTTTGATCAGAAATATGCGTAAAGGTAAACATAAATATAATACAAGCAAACTTTCATAAATCAACATCAGTTAATTAATAGATCAGACGTCGAAACTTCTAGTATTGGATTTCAATTTTCTTTACTTTTCTTTTCTTTCCGCTGTGAACATTTTTGTGGTTTTATTTGTATTAAGTTGGTAACGAAAGGCGTAACTAGTCCCAAGGCTTTGTGGAAACAAACACTCGCACGACTTCGTTATACGCGGGCTTTGAATATCATTACGTACAATCATGAATGCGATTGTCGAGTCTTGTGTGTCTTGTGGAAAATGTAATGTCTGCATTCACATTTATTGAAATAGGTACCGATTTTTATTTTGTCATGATTGAAATACATAGAGATTAAATTGTAAAATTATCTTGCTTTTATATTTGGAATTTTGCCCAATCTGTTTTTGAAGTTTCTCTGTTCTTAATATAATTTTTGCAAAGTTTTGATAAAATAATCCATACTAATAGTATAAATGTGAAAGTGTGTTTGTTTGTTTGTTTGTTTGTTTGTTTGTTTGTTTGTTTGTTTGTTTGTTTGTTTGTTTGTTTGTTTGTTTGTCCTTCTTTCACGTTGAAACGGAGTGATGGATTGGCTTAATTTTTGTGTGGAGATAGTTGGAGCGCTGGAGAGTTAAATAGGCTACTTTTTACCGCGGGAGATTATCTAATTTCCACGGGAAAATACGTTATAATACAATCTACAGAATTACTTGAAACTTGGTATTAATGCTCTTCAATAAAATTAAATAAATATGTACGTGCTTTTGCATTTTTCAAAATTCGCCCTATAAGAGGGTAAAATAGGGAATGAAAGTTTGAAAGATAACAATAAAATATTTGTTCCAATAATTTTGTATGTACTTATATACGTTATGTATGTATCTTACTAAGTTTTTTGAACCTAGTATCAGATTCCTTGTTAAAACATGTTGAACTCTGGCGTCCACAAACGCAACAAGTCTAGTAAACTTATTTATTCAATAAAACTATTTTACGTTTCAATATCACTAAGGGTGTTTATTTCATGCATTATAAATAACCAGGATTTCCCGTGGCTCCGCCCGCGTATTTTAATTATGAATCATTATTAGCTTCACAAATTATAGCCTGCCTTATGTTGTTCTCTGACGTATAGCCTATAGTACTGTAAAATTTTATCAAAATCCGTTTTGTAGCTTTTGCCCAAAAAAGTAATAAACTTACGTTCATATATCCTCACAAATTATGTAATGTAAGTAGTAAATATTTAGACTCAGACTAAAGAATTATATAGACGGAATCATATAACCGCCAAAAAAAATGTCAAAAGTCAAAAATAGTCGTGTAGCGTGATTTACTATTTATGGTACATATATGAAATTATATAATATACGGTACCTACTTATAAAAAAGACAATTTTTAAATTTGTCTGTCTATCTGTTTGTTTTGGCGAATATCCGAAACGACTGAACTGATTTTAACGGGACTTTCACTGGCAGATAGCTAATGTTATAAGAAGTAACTAAGGCTATTTAATTTTAGAAAAAGAATTAGGTTTCCGCTAAAAAAAAACGTTAAGGGACGCAACCGAGCCAAGCTAGAGTAAGTCAATAAGTCAGTAAGAGGCTAGTTTTATATAGGTATATTTATATGGTATAAATATTATACTCTTTTGTATTGTTTAGGTCCTACTAATAAGTGCTCTTCCCCTCGAAAGAGAATTAATATTAGTTTTTCTTTTTTTTTATTATAAAATCTATTGTTTTTTTTTTAATTTATTAACGTTTATATACTAATCAAATATTTGTATGCTTTAATGTTTCAAAACATTAAAACATTGTATGTACATATATTATTTTAAAACATTGCTGTTTGTTTGGCTTTATGTATAGTTCCAGTAGTTGACAGTTGACACGGTTTAATTCATACTGTCTACTTCATAGTCTGAATATTTAGTTTAGGTTTATGTTTTCATTAAGTTCCATAAACATCTTTAAAAGTGATTACTGAATTAATATTTTTAATATTTATGAATTAAATATATTTATAACACCAAATAAAATCTCACAATCAAAAAAAAAAAACTAAACATACCAAGTAATTGCTAGTTTGCTTTTGCGGTTAACTTTGAAAAGTGACCTTAAAAATTCCATTAAATCTATTTTTCTATATAGATTGATAACCATATGGTATAAGTGTATACATGACTAGCATTGCCCGCGGCTCCGCCCGCGTTCAGATGACCAAAAAGCAAATTCTTAGGTTTTACATATTAGTATACTCTTACATTCCAGTTTTTGTATTTTTTCTCAGAAATGAGATATTTTCCCGCGGTAAAAAGTATCCTATATGTTGACCCGGATAACCAGCTATAACCATACCAAATTTCATAAAAATCCCTCCAGTGGTTTTTCTCTGATGCGGTCAAAGCAGACAGACAGACAGACAAAAATTCTAAAAACGATAGATTCGATAATCTCTGTATCCATAATTATATTTATTTCAATAAGATTTTCCAAAAAATATCTAATGTACAGATTCGCCTTGGTTACAATTCTATCAAATGTATAGATATATTGATAAATAGAAAGTTATCATAAATTATAATTAAAAATTGTTTTAAGTGTAATTTACAAATACACATACCTACAGTTTTAACGTTTTCAATTTCTCGATATTTTAATAATTATAAAACAGAAAACGTTGTAAGTGTGGTGCGATGTGAGGGAGCGTCAAGTTGTCAAGAGTTAATTGATTTAATCATCGAGTCTATTGCGACTACGATGCACTCTACTTACGTCCGCTCTTACTATAAATAAAATAATATTATACAAACATTGATGTATCGACGAGTAGTACCTACTTAATTATGAATTTAATACAAATATATAAATTAGTAGTGTAGTTTAGTCTTTTATTGATAATACCGTCTGCCGAGTGGACGAAATTTCAACATTATTAAGAATTTGAGGAAAACAATATGAATAGAATTTGCCTATCTATACCTACAAAAAAAATGTTACTAACTTTTTTATTGATAACATTAAACCTCGTTAACAGCGTTTACTAAAAAAAATCGGTTCACAAACAGAGGAAATAGAAGTACTGAACATTTTACAAGTACATGAACTAGTAGTTCTGCGAACAGCAGATCTCGCTAGCACAAACGGCATTTTGAGGAGTTACTCTGCTTATCACGCCGCTCTGATGTTCAATTCAAATTTTAATGACACCAACTTAAAGTTACTACCTTCCAAATAACAAAGAACCATCGAAGTTGGATCTCATAACGCTCAGATATTCAGTAGCCCCCATTTGCCCCTTTTTTGAGGAAGCACCATTCCAATCAAAAATTATAAAGACGTAAAACCTGTTTACAAAGTTTCGTCAAGATCAGTCGTAAAATACGACCTGTAGAGAAGTACCAACAAACTTACAGAGAAAAGCAAATTTTGCCAGACTTGAAGCAGAGACGCTTCGCTCGCTCGGTCCATTTTTAGATATAGTGATGTACCCACATGATAGCGCAGTGGTAAGGCCAAAACATTAGCAATTTAGGTCTTCAAGAGTATTATATAGTACGATCTTGTTCAAGTAAATATAAATAACCCCACTAGACCTGGGAAAGTACTACCGTCACAAAATATAGATGTCAAATAGCAGTTCTTCGATTTACGTATAAATTATTAAACCCCTTCTTTAAAATGCCTCCTTCTGAGTTGATAACCCACAACTAATGCCTCTGGCCTTGCTAGCGTAATTGAACTGTGGTTTTGCTAACTTCTATAATTTAGACAGTTCTCGTAAAAATATTTTTTTTGATTATCATATTTGTGGTGTAAGGCAATAAAATTATTTATCGCGTTTCTAAATATTGTGATTGAATCTTGGGTGGGGGCTGAGGAGTATGAAGCGTTTCATATTAATTTAACGAGACCGAATTACTGATATCAATATTGCCTAAACCTAGAGTGTAACTAGGCTTAATCCGTGCGCTTTCAGATAAAGCAGATAAGCCCTATGTTTATGGAACTTTCAAAGTTTTTAGCTCTAATAATATCGTTACAATAAACCGTTTTAGTTATCGAAAGTATTTATGTTAGGTATAGTTTTTTTACTGGTTATGTTCTAATAACTATGTTTAATTTTTTTAAAATATAATAACCTATTTAAGTAAAAGATTTTCTTTGACAATGTCGATACTTACGTCTCCGCACTATTTTTTTAATTACATACGAGTATATATAATTATTGTACATATATATTTTTTTTGTTTAAAAAGATGTATTCCTTTCACCCGCCGCATTTTAGTGACGAGTTACTTCATTTTACTAAAAGCTTTTTGTGAAGAAAATGTATTCAAAGGA